GGGCAGTGGAGGACTTTTTTCTACACGTTCGCGAGAAGAAGGTTACGATCGCGTAGTTGTGTGATGCTGTGATTCGCGAATGCGTGGCTAAGGTCGCGTTCGCGTAGGGTATATGAGGCAGAAGCTGGGTTCACGCGTTTGTTCTTCGTGGTTGCTTGAAGAGGGTCGTGATCGTGTAGGTTTGAGGAAGCATTTAGTTCGTGTTCGCGTGGATGTCTCCGCGTTCGCGTAAGGCAAATTAGAGGGGCAGACTATTTTGTGCTTCGCGAACGTGGGAAGAAGGTCGCGTTCACGATGGAGGGTAGCTGGGCAGCAGTGTTAAATTTCAAAAATAAGGGTTTGAGTTCATAACACAAAGTTGATTTTGGGAGCTCGGTGGGAGGTGATTCTTGGAGAGATTTTCAAGTGGGTGATTGGGGTAAGTGATTCCTACCTAATTTTGGTTAATTTCCGTATTTATGTTTTTGATTTCATTATTAAATTAGTTTTGCTCTAGTAGTAAGCACCCTCCACTTCTAACCAAGAGGTTATGAGTTCGAGTCACCCCAAGAGCAAGGTGGGGAGTTCTTGGAGGGAGGGAGCCGAGAGTCTATCGGAAACAACCTCTCTATCCCAGGGTAGGGGTAAGGTCTGCGTACATACTACCTTCTCCAGACCCCACTAGTGGGATTATACTGGGTTGTTGTTGTTTGGGTAGAAAATTGGGGGGAAAAACAAAGCGGATTCGGAATTGAGCGGTGAAATGCGTAGAGATCGGAAAGAACACCAACGGCGAAAGCACTCTGCTGGGCCGGAGCTGAAACTGCTAACTAGGATGAATGGGCTAACTAGAGAAAAGTTCTTAGGCTGAATTTTGAGGTTTTGATCAAGATTTTGGTATCGGATTTGAGTAATTTTGGTATGGGTGGACTCGTGGTTGAATAGGTGTTTGGATTTTATGACTTTTACCAAATTTCGAGATGCGGGCCTATTGGCCTACCTTTGAGTTGACTTTTTGACTTTTGATTAAGAGCTTAGTATTTTCTTATGGAATTGATTCCTTTAGCTCGTGTTGATTGTATCGAACTGTTTGTGGCTAGATTCGAGGCATTCAGAGGTCGTTTCGCGAGGCAAAGGTGTGTTGGAGTAGATATTTGCACGACTTGAGGTAAGTAATAGTTCTAAATTTGGTTATGAGGATTTGAAACCCCGTATTATGTGTCATGTGATTGGTTTTGAGGTGACGCACATGCTAGGTGATGGGCGTGTGGGCGTGCACCGTAGGAATTGTGACTTGGTCAATTCCATGGAACTGCATAGTTGAAAAATCTGTTGGTATCCGTATGTTCTCCATGTGTTATAAAAATTGAACTGCAAATCATGTTTAGATTATGCGTTGGCACTGTAGGGACCCACAAAGGTCGTGTACATGTTGAATTATCTATTAAACTGTTATTTTGTACTCAGTCACAGTTTTACATGCATATTAAATCTCAGTCTCTATTGTTCTTTATTGATACATTATATCATTGTTGTTTGGGCTGATTATCATGATTACTGAGAGCCGAGAGACTAGAGAGTTTGATGACTGAGTGAGGCCGAGAGCCTGATGGTGAGGATATTTATGGGATCGGGTTGCACGCCGTAATATGTTTTATTGATTTATGCCATGATTGGCTTGTCATAGTGCTTGGGCTGAAGGAGCCTCTTCGGCATCTGTACACACCCTCAGTGAGCGCAGGTACATGTCGAGCGCGAGTGCCGAGCGACTCAGAGAAATGAGAGGAGGTGAGGAAGGAGTGACTGTGTGGTTGGAGTGAACGGGAGGACTGAGTGACTGTTGTTATGAGATTTTACACTTGATTTCATTAATGTTTCACTTCAGCTGGCATATATCACTGTCATGTAATTTCTGAGTGATATTATATCATGTTTCAATTGAACTTGACATGAATTAACTGCTTTGGCCTAAATTGTCGAACTTGAAAGTATGCCTATCTTCCTATGTTGAAATTACTGTAATTTAGCTATATCTGTGAAGCTAGTCACTACTTCCAGTCCATTATTTAGTCTTGTTACTTACTGAGTTGGTTGTACTCACGCTACACTCTGCACTTCGTGTACAGATCCAGGTATTTTCGGACACGGTGGGTGCTGATTCTCTGCGCAGCTTGATCGTTTGGGGATTCCAAGGTAGTTGCCCGGCGTTCGCAGACCTTGTCTCTCCTTCCCTATCTTTTCGCTTTATGTATTTAGTTTCAGACTATCATAGACAGTATTTTCAGACTTGTGTTGTATAGACGCTCATGTACTCAGTGACACCCCGATGTTGGGAATTTTCGTATTGGGTTTTGACCTTCTATCCAGTTTTTGTTTTTGAGAGTTTGATGATTTAAACCTGTGTTGTTTTATTTTTCATTTAAAAGTGTTGGAAGTATTTTTTTTTTTTTAAGTGTCGGCTTGCCTAGTACCGCATTAGCCGCCATCATGACAGACTAAGTTTTGGGTCGTGACAGGCACATAGAAAAGTTAAGGAGATATTGAGAGTTATTCATTTTGTTTGTTATCCTTGATTTGTTAAAGATCAGGGATAACTCCAAAATTCCTCATAAGGATGGTCATCTTTGGTTTGTGTTACCAAGCCATTTCGTAATACCCATAATGATCTGTCTAGTAGAGAGATTTTTTATTATCCTAGGTGCACATACTTATCATACTGTCATATACTAATGACAATTTTTTCTGGTTGGATGAAAGCAACTATTAACTTGCTGATAGGGAATATATTCATATCATTGATCATGCTATAAAAGAGAATTGACAATCCAACTGCAACATTCTCTTGCTATAGGTATCTACCATAGCAGTCATAATTCCTGTAGGATATTAAAGTCAATCTTAACTTTGCTTTGCCTTTTAGTGTTGTATTAGAGTTAAGCTTATGTACCATCCTTATGAGAAATTTTGGATTTTTTCTTTATTGTCGATAGTATGATAGTAGTAGCTTTCTTGAAATGTTAGTACATATGCTAGTTATGAATTTAAGAAAAGGCTTATGTGCGAGATAAAATTAATCCCCTTCATGAATATTATATATATATATATATATATAAAAAGAAATTCCTAGGTGAAAATATCATTCTTGCTTGGTAAATCTTATAAGATTTAAGTTCCGATGGAAATATGATACTCCTATAGTAACTGCGTACCAAGTCAATTGAAGTCTTTAATATCTCTGACTTTTATTATAATAATTGTTATAATTTTCTCTGTTAGGAAACATTTATGGAAAATGGTTTATTTTTCATTCTCTGTTAGGAAACATTTTTGAATTAATAATATATATTATATGAATTATTTTCAATAGATTAGAAAAGGAATAAATTACTGTAGCTCATTGTACAATCAAATTACATAATTATACGAAGAAAATGAGTTCTGAAAAAGAAAAAAAAAACAACTAAATCGAAAACTTTTTAACAAAAAAAAGAGCTCGTCAAGGACTCATAAACTAATTTTTTTTACAACAAAAAGATAATTATATGATTTTCCATATCAAGTCCTAAATATTAGGCAATTAATTAAATGATTGTCCATACATATTGAAAAATAATTAATGACTATTCCTACATATTAAGAAAATAACTAAAATTACTACTTTGTCTAATATAAAATATAGAGCCCGTTTGGATTAGCTGATTTGAAGTAGCTGATAAGCATTAGGTGCTGAAAAGCATTTTTAAGTGCTGAAACTGATTTAATAAATAAGCAGTTACGCGTTTGGATACAAGTGCTGAAATTGATAATAAGCTGCTACAGTATTTGATAAAAAAGTGCTAATAAGCTTTTTTTCTGTTAAAATGACTTAAATAACTTTATAAGTGTTTACACCTATAAGGGCGTAATATCTTCAAAATTTTAGATTCCAAATCGATCCAAATACAAAATATTTTATTTGTCATTTTATTTTAAATACAACTGTGCTTAGATAAGATAAATTTTATGATAAATATAATTTATTTTATGATAAGCATATAATCATAAGTTATAATAATTGATAAAAGTTTCTCAGTAAAAAATAAACCTAAATAGGACAAAATATTTGAAGAGAAACAAACACTGTCTTTATCAGCACAACACTTAGAAAGCAACATAACAAAATATTTGACATGTCCTCATTTATTATATATAGTTCAAAGATTAATACACAATCACATAGATATAAATATGCAAAGGAATAGAGAATTTGCTTATCTTAAATAGTCAATGAGCATTGCAGACTTGAAGAGGCGGAGGGAGGGGGTTAGGTTGAAATAGTACTTGAGGCAGTGAGTATTGATGCAAGAGTTTTGTTCTAAAAAAGAATATTTAAGAATAAAATAGTAAAAATTTTGGTCAAACTTAAAGTGCTTATAAGCTAAAAATTTATAAGTTGGGGGTGACCAGCTTATGGCTTTTGGCTTGTTTTTGACTTATAAGCACTTGGCTTATAAGCACTTTTAACTTTACCAAACGCGTAGATAAGCCGAAAAGTGCTTATAAGCTACTTTTTGACCAGCTTATAAGCTTAGCCAAACATCCTCATATTCTTAAAGGGTAAAAAAGACGAACGACGTTTCGCTAAGGGCCTTAGTGTTTTTAATATAGTATAAATATAGATAGATAGATAAAATATTGAAAGTGCCCAATCTAATTTTATAAAGGACATGCATTTCTTACTCATTTATTACCAAGCACGGAAGCTTTCCCAAACAGTGAATTCCCTTCATCATGGAAAGTGGAAACAAAGTTACCCTTCACCATCTTCATTAATTATAGTTGAATTAAAGTCAGGGGGGCAAAACGAAACTGTAAATACTTGGAGGACGAATAAACATAAACGCAAAGTTAGGGGGAACATACACGCATCGCGCGTCTTCGTAAAAAATAATGAGAAACGCAACGGCTAGTAAGTAAAACGGTAACCTCCTCAACGGTCGAATAATTCGAAAGTACTCTCCCTAAATTAGACCCAACTCGTAACTTTGTCTCTCCGTCTCTATCCCCTCTTTTCTATTTTTGTTCTATTCTCCTCCTTACACTTCTCAACTCTCCCCCTGCCTCCATTGCTGTTCACATTCCACATATTCTTGGCAAGTTTCTGCTCACATTTCACATACTCTTGGCAATATAGCAAGTGCGAATTCAAGACTAATCTAATAGTAGAAAATGTTGCAAGATATGTGGAATGCACCGCCAGGTTTCAGACCCACAAAATCGGCTCCATCTTCTCCGGCTAAACCCCTCGGAGTCTCAAGAACTCGTTCTGAATCCTTTCACGTTGCCCACAAAGTCCCCGTCGGTGACAGCCCTTATGTCCGAGCCAAAAATGTTCAAGTAAGCTTCTTGGTGTACCCCATATAATTTTTCTGAGTCTTAACCTATCAGAAAATGATCATTTGAATGTAGGGGCGGATGTGGGCCGTAAGATATGGGTTCATCCGAACTCAGTTGTTTTGGCTAAGCTTCACTAACTAAGTTGTATTGTTCTGATTGGTTGGTTCTACTATGAATTGATGTGATGTTTTTTTTTGGGTTCATTTATACTTTCAGTTGGTAGAAAAGGATCCAGAAAGGGCAATTCCATTGTTTTGGGCAGCTATAAATGCAGGAGATAGAGTGGATAGTGCTCTCAAAGATATGGCTATTGTAATGAAGCAACAAAATCGGGCTGAAGAAGCCGTTGAAGCTATTAAATCTTTGAGAAGTAGGTGTTCAGATCAAGCACAAGAGGCTCTTGACAACATCCTCTTGGACCTCTACAAGGTCTCCTATCATTTCAAATTATACACTTCATAAAAGAGCAACAAGTTTTCAATCCCCCCCCCCCCC